ATTAAAAAGGAGAGAGGAAAGGTGATCGCCTTGAGGGACACCAGAAATTACGTTTATAGGTGTCGATATAAAGTTTTTATATTTGAAAAATTGGATTCTTTGACTTAGGAATGAGTTAAGCCATGATTATAGGGGATTGGCAAAGCCAATTTCCTGTAGTTTACTGACTAATAAAGAGTGGTTTACTCTATCAAAGGCTTTTTCAAAATCTGTATAAACAACATCTGTTTGTTGATTATTAGAAAAAGATTTAATTATATGATGTTTAATAGTTATTAAATTGGTAAGACATGACTTTTTATTGCGAAATCCATGTTGTTGTGGTGCTAAAATATGTTTAAATATGGGTGTGAGCTTATTATTTATTATTTTAGAAAATATTTTTGGGAGAATAGAAATTATCGATATAGGACGATAATTTGAGATAAATGATTTATTAAATTTTAAGAATTGGATTAATATAGGTGGATTTCCAAGATGATGGAAATGAGTCACTATTTAAACAAAAATTAAAGAGATATGTGATAGGTGGAGAAAGTATAAATCTGCAGTTAAATAAAAATATAGGAGAGAGACCATCAGGACCAATTGCATTTTTGTAAGATAGAATATTTAATTCATTGAAAACTTCTAGGAGTTCGATGTGAAGTGAGTTTAACGAATCAATTGATTGAACTATATTAGACTGAAAATTAATATTAGTAGGAGCTGTATCTTTATAAACTGAAGAGAAGTATTGACTAAATAAGTTAACAATTTTTTGACCATTATCAGCTGACTTATGGTTGAATGACATTGTGTTAGGAAGACCAGATGATTTTTTAATATTTTCAATTAAAGACCAAAATTTCTTAGGCTGGGATCTAAAAGATTTTTGAATATTAATTAAGTATTGAGAGTAATCAAATCTACTTAAGGATTTGCATTGAGCACGTGTGGAAGAGAATTGTTAGTAATCATCATGTGAGTTAGATAACTTAAATATTGAATGTTGAAATTTGTTTAATTTGATTAGATTTATTAAGTCTTTAGAGAACCAACAGGGGAATTTAGATTTGCAGTATCTCTTTTTAGGAATAAAAGTGTAAATTGCATAGAATAGGAGGGAATAAAATTCTTTGGTGATGGTTGTAATATCATTACTAATATTGAAAAATTCGTTCCAGTTTATTGAACCAAGGAAAGATAAAATATTAATATAATCTCCCTTATACCAGTCATAGGTTTCTTCAGAAAAAAATTGCGGAGAGAGAGTGTCGAACTGAGAGTAGCTGACATTAATAGGAGGGTGATAATTATCTACTGGAACTATAGAGAACTAATGAGAATTAGAATTGGATAATATAAGATCCAGTATTGAACCATAACTATTGAAGATTGTATTTATTTGAAAGAGATTAAGAAATGATAGGTTTTCTAAAAAAATAGGTTCAGGAGAGGATAGATTTAAGTTAGCATTTAATGATGCTTTATTTAAATTTGGCAAATTAAAATCACCGAAAAGTAGAAGATCATCATTTGGGCGAGAAGAAATTAGGTTATCTAAAATAGAGAAATATTCATTATACAAAGAAGAAGGAGAATTTGGCGGAAAGTAGATACAACCCACGATTAAATTTTTAGTGTTATTAATTTTTACAGAGACAAAGCATAATTCTAGCGATTTTACATCAACATCAATTTGTGAGGAGATACATTTTTTATTCACTGCTATTAAGACACCCCCTCCTCTGGTTGACGAGCTAGATAATAAAGATCTATCATATCTATAAATTTCGTAGTTTACGAGACCTAGTTCAAGTGAGCTAACGTTATTATGTAACCAGGTTTCAGTAAAAGCTAAAATATTAAAATCTAAGAAATCTATATTGGTTTTTAATAGTTTTAATTTAGTAATAAGACCTCTTACATTTTGGTAGTAGCAGTTGAATATATTGTGAATGAAAATTAGTTTTTTGAATTAATAATTTTTGGGGTGCCTTTGATGTATTTAATGATGAGGTCCTGTTCTCCATTAAATTGACGGTTTAGAAGTTCTTGGCGAAGGTGTGACATGTATTCTTGTTGCTGTTTGGTTCGGTCAGAAGAGAAGCGAAGGTCTTTCCAGGTAGAGTTTGATTTTAATTTATTTTGATATGAGAATAATTCAAAAATATCTTTTTGATCCGAAAAACGTAATTTTACTGGTCGAGATTTGGTAGTATTAGAAGAAGAAGGTTTGCCCAGACGAGTGACAGAATTTGGTTTGGATTTTAAGTTAAGAAAATCAAGTATGTTTTGAATAGAAGTAGAATCCGAGCTTGCGTTGGTTAAGTCATTAAGAGTTTCTGTTAAATTGAAGAGTAACACATTATTTCGTCGTGATTGTCTGTCGATCATCTCAGGTATTAGATTGTCGTTAATTATATGATAACAATATTTATTAAGTATGTATTTGAATCCAAACAAATAAAAATTTACATAATACTGATAATGAAGAATTTCATTACATAAGACATTTATAAATGTTATATAAAGTAATTTTAAAATTCTTACATGTTTCCTGAATTTTAAGTAGATAAATCTTATTTGAGTAACTCTAATTTAATAATAATGAAATCTTANTTTGTAAGTACATACTCATAGTTTAATACAATATAAGCAGTTAAAAATATATTAAGTGCGTTTTAAAAGATTGCTACTACTATGATAACTAACTACTTCGACTAAGTCTGCAGTTCCCAACCTTTCTCAGCCTAGGAGCCTTTTTTTAAAAAAAAGTTTCTCGTGGAGCCCCCAAGAAATATTTAACGTTAATTTTTATCTGCCTGTGTTCTATCTTCTATGAAGTATAAAAACACTAATTTTATACATAAAATTTTATTTTTTAATACAGGTGAATCAATAGTATGAAAAGAACTGGACAACATATTATTTATTATTTAAAACTTAAATCTACAAAATGTCTTAATGTGAGCATTGGGCCTGGTTTTTACTACTGAGTTTGTTCATGTCCAGTGTCACATAAGTCATTTGAAGACACATATCGTTTTCTGCATCCAAACGTGCTCGATATTTTGTTTTTGTAGCTGTATACCTCGAAAAAGCCGTTTCACATAGATATGTAGTAAAAAAAGGAAGTAAAAGCAGTTTATCTTTTGAACTTAATATTGAATGATCTTCCCCTAATTGAGCCTAAAATTCAGATATTGGTTTGCTTTTAAATAATGTCTGATAGCAGCTATCCGAAACCATATCAATAAGAACCTCGTATTCTTCTGCATTGAGAGTTGTTGGTTTCGACGTCACTAAAGATGGATTAATGATCTACTCATAGTTTTTTCGAACTGATTTTTGAGCATATTTTGGAAAGTATAAAATCAAATTTGGAAGCAAATAATTAAGATATTCTTTAATTATTTCTAATAATGGTTCGTTTATTGTTAAATTGTCTTCTTGTAAAAAGTTTGAAGTCATTGAAAAACATGTCAAGTCTTTATTATCGATGCTTTCAATGTAGAATACAATTTTTTTCTTTAGCACAACAATTTTATCATTAGCATCAAATATTGTTTTATGTTTTCCTTGTATAGATGTGCTGAATTCATTCATTTTTGAAAAAATATCTGCCAAGTAACATAGTTTTCACAATCATTTCTGGTCATTCAAATAATCTGCTAACAAACTATTATGGTTATTTAAAATTGAAAAAACTTCCGTTCGAAGTTCAAATAAGCGGGCTAACGCTTTGCCTCGTGACAACCACTGTACTTCTGTGTTTAATAACAATGACTTGTGTATAGCTCCCATATCTTCACACAATATTTTGAGCAGTCTACACTGCAAAGGTCGTGTCTTAACATAGTTAATAATTTTAATCGCGTTAACTAGTACTTGCTTTAATAAGACTAGTTTTATAAGAATTTCAGCGAGGGTGTGTGGTTTGTCATCAAGAGCCAGTTATTAAATTACTAAGTACGATGCTTTCAGTGCTTTTTCAGAATATGTTTTTACATGAGATACAAACGTTTTCGGAGTTACATGGAATTCATCACTTTTTCTTTTAAAATAGTCTGCAGTTTTATTTATGAAGTCAGGATGTGTTTCAAAATATTGTTTAAGCTTAGCAGGGAACATTAAGCTATTAGGCAAAACTTTGTTACATATCACACACTGAGGACGTTCATCAGCAAATTCAGTGAATCCCATATCTAAATATGAATCGAAATATTTTCGTTTTTTGCTTCCTTTTCGAATATTTACATCAGGTATCGTAGATTCTAAAGTAGAACTATGTACATATTCCGAATATAGTTCTAAGGAATTATTTTTACTACAACTATTGTTATCTTTCTTCGACTGTGCAATAGTTGTTGGCTGACGATTTTTAGGTCTTATGGAGCCCGTTTTAAACCACCATTCCATTTCAGTAAAAATACACTGGGTCGTTCGTAAATACGTACAATTAACTGATAAAAGAATAAAGTAATATGAGAATCAAACGTAAATTAAATTGTGAAACGTGGTAAACAAGATTATACATATTCTATAACATAATAAACAACGGACAGAGTCGTCAGTGTTTTTTCGATATATTGTTGTTTCGTATTATCTAAAATTCTAAAATGAGATAATTGTATACAATTTTCTTATCGGTTTTTTACGCAATATACATATCGGTGAATTATGGCAATCAAGTCTTCATGAAATATATATTCATTTTAAATAACGAACAATTTTTAAATTTTTTGTGGTGTTACGAACGGAGCCCTTATCAAGCAAGTCTCTAGCAAGTAGTGCAAAATGAACACTGCCGCAATATGCACTATTTGTGCTTACTTAAGACTTAAGAAAAAATTATTTATTATCATATTATGCATCACAAAAATTATACTTAGTTACAAACTTACTGAGTTAAGAATTTCAGTAAATAATATTTTACTTTTTTTAAGTATTTAAAAATTTAAACTAATAATATAGATAATCACAGTTATTTTCACTAATCGTATCAAATATTTAAATTCGTCAATCACACAGTCATAATAATATATGCTCCTGGCCAGTTTCTGTTTAAAACATATAAATAAAAGCGAAAGTGTCATTAGACTTCTTAGTGTTGTTTTTGCTAAAATTATTTTCAAATAATTGTAACAAATAATGATAATGGCTTATAAATAAAACAATACGTTTTTCTCAATCTTAATTCTGAGTCAAATTCACTTTTGTTCAAAGTAAATTTTGTAAAAAGAAAATCTAAGCCGAGCATGTTTATTTCTAATCGTTTTTTAACAGCTTTTAATAAAGATAAAATCTCTTGGTCATTAGGATTTTCAATACTCATAATTAAATTATCAAGTAATGGAATATAAATATTATTCTTAAATTCCTCTTCTATAGAAAATATTGGTCTTTAGTTTAATCAATTTAAATGGATATCTCTCTTCTCTTTACTTCAGGTATATTAATCTCATGCTTAAAACAAAGTAATACTGCTTCTATAAATTGAGTTGAGAAATTTATATTTTTAGATATCATTGATTGTAAAGTAGTTTTTAAGGATAGAACCATATCAACAGCTGATATAATAGATCTAAGTTTGGGGTCTGTAATGCGGCACTCACTTTAAGAATAATTATTAAAATTATATTGTGTGTTGTGCCTGTACGAGTTGTGGTCGTACGGGTTGTTTTATTCTTTCGGTAGTGTGAGAATCCAATTTTTAGGAGAAAGTACAACAAAACAGTTCTAAGGATTTTTGGTAACTAATATAATTTTAATGTGAATCGAACTACTTAATTAAAGTGTAATATATTATAATAGTCATTGACATGACGTATAGTTTTAAAAGCGGTAGCTCGACTGACTGCGCGGCTCTCTTGCAGGTGCCATATGGCTACTATATTCTCAGAGCCACCTAGACACTAGGCGTTATCGATAGACTAAAATAATATACTCTTATGTTCTAATACAAAGGGGTTATACTACTATACTATATAATATAGCAATGTGCTCATAACATAAGGAATATAAAAATAAATTTAAATATTTTCATTTGATGTAGTAAATCCTTTGCTTTTGCTTTTACATCGCCTATGCCAGATGCTTCTAGTATCTGTTTTGTTCATGGTGATTTCTTATCAGATTTCTCTTTCTCACACAGCCACATTCTTTTTTGCAGTTTTGACTGAATTTCACAATAGATATCTCCTTTGGTTATGATTTCAATATTTTGGGTTTCTTCATCAATGTTGATACATTCATTATAAAGTTTACAACAGGGTGGATCTTATAACAGGAGCTTTAACTTCTTTTGGATCACGAATGAAACCGCCTTATCCTTAAATTACTCTCATACATGCACAAAAAATAATTTGTTAAATTACAAGTTATAAAAAAACTAAAAGTACTTACAAGTTACAAAATAACTGATTTTAGTAACTTTTTAACTTTTTCTTTGTAAATAGTTACTGCTTAGCTTTGACCAGTGACTGTTAATATTCGCATCTGTGGTTTTTAATGGTTATATTAAATTTTTTGGAACCTAATGATTTTAATGATCCAATTATATTTTACATATACACAATTATATTATATTTTATTATTGAAATGATCGTGACATAGAGATTACGAAAAAAAATTGCATCTATTCAAAATAATAATTTTAATACTACATTTGATTTTTAATCTATAGAGCCTACTCGTGAAGAACCTGAAATGCTAGTTGAATATATTAATGTGAATATTTTAACTCACTATATTCAGAATTCTTCCAGCAATGAACTCAATCTCACATTAGATATCAAGCAACGGGAATTAGAATGCATTTATGGAATTCAAATTATTTGCTCTGTACTTGAGCAGCTTGGAGGTTAGACACAAATCATTTTATTATTAAATTAATTTTTTTTTCGTTTGCAAAATATTCATTAATATAGATAATGATTATAATAATAATGTCTAAGCTCAAGAACTACTTAACCAATTTTAAAATTTCTTTCACCTATAAAAAGCTACATAATCAGTGAGTAACATGGGCTGTATTTTATTTTCGAAAAATTAGGGATCCTTAAAAAAATTATAATATTTAGGTTTTTAGGTATTTTTGATATGAATATCTTATTGTTTATTTATTTATTTTTGTTTATTCATGGGTTACCTTGGTGACATGGATGGCAATTTAATTCTCATGGATAAGAAAACTATTGTTATTATTTTTATTTATACCATTATCTGGCAATACCAAAGAATTGTCAGGTTAGCTAGTATAATATAAAATTAATATTGATTTTTTTAAATTTATTTTGCCTAATAGTTGAACTGATTTCGAAAATAATTAAAAAGCTCTATCATGATGGAATTGTAACTGAAGAAACTTTAATTTTTTGGAAAAATGAAGACAAAAATAAAATTGGTTTTAACAAAGTTGCAGACTCAAAAGCAGTGGCAGTTGAAGCATTGGACCCATTATTCAGTTTATTTAAAACCCAACCGAAACTATCAAAATACCGAATTTGGTTAAATAATGTATTGCCTACAATATTCCATAAATGATTGCACTGGACATCGCAAAACACTCATATATGTATTCCATATAGTGAACTAAGAATGAGCGGCATCACTGCAAGCATGTTTATTTATAATAAATTAGATATGTCAATTGGTGCAACAATCAGACAAGTCTGATCATTAAATACTACAGATTTCTATACTAGTATAGAATTCTGTGTTAAATATAGAGATATTGTACAAATGGCGATATATGGTTTTTATCATGATATAATTAACTAGGTAAGGAAATGCAAGAAAGACATTGATCCTTCTGATTGGTTTATAATTTTTGGCGGTTTTTTAAAAATGTTTTTCTTTTCATGATAGTTTTTAATCATAGACATATTATTTAATTATTATTATATGCTTTTATACTCCTTCTTTTTTCTTGTAGATAACTTTTCTACCAACAATTTTGCTTTAATAGAAAAACGACGAATACTTTTTTTGTTGCATTCATAATCTTTTAATAGTGAGTAAGTAACTGATTTTTTGATTTTTTTTGTGTTTTTATTAATATTTAGGAAAAACGAAAAACGAAAAAAATACATAAAAATGAAAACTGACTAATTTACGGTGTTACAATTTCATTAATTTAAATTTCTACGCTTTCTTCCAGAAATATTGCTTCAATAGAGAAATATAAGAGTCCTTTTTTGTTGTATTTTTAGTATTATTAGTGAATAAGAAAATTTTATTTCGGTTAGGATGGCTGTCACAACAGTACTATTTTAGAGAGGTAAAATAAAATATGTGGGAAAGTCGATTTCAAGTAGACTTGACAACAATTAAATTCAAATCTGTTCTTAGAATTCGTTTCATTTCACTAGAAGAATCGGTACATTGAAATTAAAATACTTCTAAATTTCTATGCCCCACGTGGTAAGACAGAGACAGAAAATCACCGCTTCTAATCCCCTTGAATGATAATTATGTCCAAATGAATGTAACCTGCAAAATGAATACATGTGTACTTATTTCAGTTATTTTATAGTAGTGTAGAACAAAAAAGATCTGTTCGATCTAAAGGAGATAGATTTTTATTTGTATTAAATTTTTCTTAATATTGAGGTTGATATTATGCAAATTATTATTATTATTTTATTCTTTACAATATGTTTATAAGAATAATGTGAAAGTATAGATTTAGTTTGAGTATATTATTACATTTAATAATACATAATTTGTTTTTTATAACAAAATTTAGTCATTTATTTAATAATTTTTAATGATTAAAAGCCACTAACTGATATTAAAATATTACAGACACTACAGAAAAAAATAATTTTTTTAAATTTAAACCACAATTGTTAAATGTATTGAAATCTTCAAAGTTAGTTCAGCTGAATTTGTTCAGCTGAAATATGTGAATATAATCTGTATTATCATTTGAAATGTAACACTTACTAATGTACAAATAGTCAAAGAAATTATGCAAGTACTAACAAAATTTTAAAAATCTGTATTTTTAGTTTGTATTAATTTTTTGCTAAACAGTAAAAACTGTTAAAGAGTATTTTATTTAAAAAATCGAACATGCTGGGATTAAGAAAACTCTACCTGATTATAATAATTATTTCTACAACAATTTTTAATTCAAATAATTCCCATGCTAGTAAGTTGAATTACATAATATAGTCTGATATACCTAGTAAAATATTTCTTACATGCAATTTTGTTTAATGATATATTATACATAAATCTATAGTCTACGCCTATATACTTACCTTCTGTATTTTAGGTGTACTAATGATACAGATGATAATATTTATAATAATAATTATTTATATATATACATTTTACATATTGTTTTATATATTTGTATCAATATTACTAAGGTATTACAGTAACATTTTACTGTCTGCCTCTTTAACGAGTACCTAATAAAGCAAAAATGTATATACATAATTCCAATAGTACTTGGAGTTTAATAATAGATCTAAAATAAAAATTATTTCACTAAGTTTCTTAAAAAGAAAATGTTTGATATTTATTTCCTAGATTATCTATTCATATGTCAAACATTGAAAACAAATTATTTTTTGTCTTACTAAAGATTGTAAAATGATTATATTAAAAAATTCCTATTTGAAAACATTGTAAATGTTATCAAAAATTATAATATTAATTCTTTAATTTGATGAAATCATTTTTGTTTTACATTAATCAAATCCTGAGCACAACTTTATTGGAAGTATAAAAACATATTTTTATGTGTTGCCTGTTAAATATAGGTACAGAGATAAAAAATGTTATTAGGTAGTGGCGTATCCAGGAATAACCCAAGGAGGGTTAATGACCTTTTTATTTTGCTGGTAATAAAATAATGTTAGTAAAAATATATCGTCCTGAAACGGAAAACTGTAAAGGCGCCACTGAGTTGTATGCTAATTGAATAATACATTTATGATTAGCCGAATAATGATGTTTGGGAATGTTAATATTATTCCTAATTACTGTAAATGCAGTACACACTTTTTATAGACAGGTAAACTATAAAATAAAAAAAACTTTTTATTAAATTGTAATACAGTGGATTCTGCTTAATGTGAAAACCGGTTAATGTGAGCAGCCGCTTAATATGAGCATAATAGTCTGGTTCCGATTCTAATGTATAACGATACTAATTTCGGTTAAAATGGGCAACCGTTTAAGAGGACGCTATACCCGCATGTGCTGTTTCACTCCAATTAACGGGCGAAATAGCAAAATCTACTTTAGTTGGAGTTGTTGTTAGTTAGGTAGTTGGAGTGAAACAGCACATGCAGCTACAGCGTCCTGTTAATGTGGACAAATGTAATTAGCCCCAACGTGCTCAAATTAAGCGGAATCCACCGTATTATTATTATTTAATAATATTAATATATTTGCATTTACTTTATAAATTATAAGCTATAGGTAGCAATCATATTTTCCTAGAGTCTTTCACAAAGTTATTAAGAACTTCATCTATTGTTAAAATTATTTCACGATGAATATTTAGTAATGTTAAACTATTTAATCTATTTCCTCCAATAGTGTTTCTAAAGTAGTTTCTTGAGTCTTTTTAATGTAGAAAATGATATTTCACTGCTTACTAGAGTTACGGGAAATGTAGTATTTGGAGAAGTTTATAAGTAAATGAAAAAATGAGTGTGTTGCCTGTTATAAGAGCTTCCAATGCATTTCTTGGTTTTTATGCTTCAACAAACTTTTGTGTCCATGTTAATACTTCTCCAACTACTGAATTAGAACTACATTGAAGATGTGTGAAGATTGAATGTGTTATCATTTCATTCTACAATCAAAACTGATATCGATAGGTACGCAACATACTACACAACATAAAGCAACTTTCTCACCAAAAGCCATTATAAATAATTTATGTAATGATAATTTCACAGATGTTTAGTATTAATTTAATCTATTCTGTTGTATTAAAACTTTAAAAGTTATAAAGTTGCTTAAAAGTATTTACGTAATATTTTATAGATATAACAAAACTATAAATGTATATAAATTATAAAAACAAATTCTATATACTTTTTTTTAGGCTTAGAATGGGGCTTGACCTAACCCTTAACCCCCCCTCCACTAGATACGCCACTGTTACTTTACTCCGGCCAGTGAGAAAACGTTACTCCTCTGCACATCTAATTGAACGAGCCCGCGGTTTCGTGCCCAAATTTCTCCCATTCTACTACCTACTCGCTGTAGAATACACGAGAACAGACGAGTTTTGATCGCCGACTAGTAGCGTTCTCTCGCTGACCGGACAATAGGTATATATTTGTTATATACCTAACTAATGCATTTATATTGATCGTTTCATTATTCTCGATTTAGTATTTATTAGTTCAGTTCATTTATAAATAATTTATATAATGTATGATATTATGTCTAATATAATTTTTTTAATTATTAACTGTAGTGCGACCACCATGTAAAGGTAATACTTAAACTTTATCAACGGTTACTCAATTTTTTTTGTTTCACGCCGACCTAAAAATAAAAATATAATTGCATCTCTCATGAATAATTTAACCACAATTTTATATTAACTATTTAAATATTCAAATATTTATATGCCAAAAAAAAGACGACTGTTAGTATTTAATTTTAATGCAAACAATGTACTTGTTTTTTATTCAATAATTCTTTAAAGTTAAGTAGCAATGTTGTGACAGTCACATGCATTTATTTTTCAACATTAAGTTTTGACATACCTATACATTAATTTTTACACAGAAACTGCAGAAAATTCTGCTTCACATAAATACCGTGTTACAAATGGTACTAACACATGCAAAGCTTTGTTGGCTACTTCAGGATATTCATCTTTAATGTTGTTTCAATATTTTAAAAGTGAATATGCAGAAGGTTTTATTAGGTGTACCTATCATCCAGTATAATTAAACAGGATTAAAAATCTACATACAATTATATAATTTCTAATATAAATAAAAAATTTTATTTGACACCATAGTAATTATAAATATAAATTTTAAAATTAAAAATTATTATTTAATAATAAACGCCATTATTTTTTAAAATACCACATAATGATATAGTGTTTAATTTGTTTCGGCTTATCTATGTATATTTTATGTTTTATACATAATAATATACGTTGCACGATTTAATTATTTCAAATATTTTTTACAATAAGTAGTATTAAATTAATATGATAACCAAAAAAATATTTAAAAATTGTATTAAAATGAAAACAATAGGAACTTTATGAGTAGCATCTATTCTGAAAGAAAATTTTGTTTAGTTGGTCAGTAAATAAATCAAGTTTTCACTTTCCTGGCATTTTTCATAATAGTTTTCAATTATAATTCAATAGGTTTCAATTTTGTTTTTTATCAGAAATATAACAATGAAATTCAAATTCAGCAACTTTTTTGAACAAAAATTGTGTCTAGTTGTTGTATAAAGATGTCATTTTTTGATTTACTATATAGTTTTAGTCATAATTTGAAAAAAAAAACAGGAATTTTATTAACATTATACATTTAAACAACCACAGAAACTGATAACTAGAATCAAAAATATTAAAACTTTAAAAAAAACTACTCTATATAATATATAAAAAAAATAGTAGGTGAGTACATTTAATTGGTATGTAAATTTTTGTGAAAGTAATATTAGGTACATAATAATAGCATATTTAGTATTTGATGAATATACTAGGATGACTATACGTCCTGTTTTAAACAGGATTGTCCTGTTTTTCAGCTTGATGTCCTGTTTTTTCAAGCGGAATTAAACAGGATGCACTTAGTGCTGTTTTCTGTGACTGTCCTGTTTTAACACATAATGTGTTGGTGTGAATATAAAACACATACGAATATCTCAATTAGCGATTAATCACTAGTACACGTCTTGGTCTTGTGCAACGTGCAGTGCATGTTTATCCATTTTTTACAATGCCGAAAAAAAAGGTGCGTTTTTACTCTAAGTTTAAAAAATGAATTTTATTTTTGAGAGATGCTGAAGAAATTGGAAAAGTGTTTTGTTCAGTATGTAAATATGTATTTTCAATTTAAATTGGTGGCTGAGCAGACATAAAACAACATGTCATCAAAGCGAAAAAAAATGTACGTACAGTATCTTCTACGTCAAGTAATGATAACGTTACATCTTTTTTTTTTAAAACAATGCCCAGTTGGTTTATCTGATGCAATTAAGCGTTTCACAACAAAAGAGGGGTTATTTTCATTTCATACGATCGTACATAGTCATTCTTTTAGATTAATGGACTGCATATCAACTATTTTGAAACATTTTTATAACAAAATATTCTCTTGTGCTCGTACTAAAACTGAATCAATTATTTTAAAAGTTTTTGCTCCTTTTGCATTGCGACAAATTTGTAATGAATTCAAATCTGTAAAGTATGCAACAATTATGATAGATACCTCAAATCATAAAAACTTAAAAGTTGTACCAATTCGCTATTTCAACCCGAAAACTGACGTGCAAATAAAAATTTTGGAAATAATAAATTTAAAAGGCGAAACTGCTGATATTTTAACAAATTATATTATTGAGATTATGAATAAATACAAATTATCAGATAAAATCATTGCATTTTCTGACGATAATTGCATCACAAACTTTGGAAGGCTCAATAGGAAAGGAATAAAAAATGTTTTTCCATTTCTAAATAAAAGTTTAAAAAATAATATTTGTGGCACTGGCTGCGCTGCTCATGTTTTGCACAACGCAATGCAATCAAGTGCTGATATTTTGCCGATCGATGTAGAATCTATAGTAAGCAAGATTTTCCAGTACTTTCATACATATACTGTACGTGTTGAACATTTGAAAGAATTTTGTGATTTTGCAAATATTGAATTCAAAAATATTCTTGGTTATGTTAAAACCCGTTGGCTATATTTATCACCAGCAATTACAAGAATAATTGAAAATTTTCCTGCTTAAAATCATATTTCGTGACATAAGATGACACAAATGTCCTACGATTAAAAAACTTTTTTTAATGTTACATTTTCCTTAATATGGCATCATTTTTTGCAAAGCCAATTGAAAGTTGAATGTAAAAAAATTGAAGGAGATAAAATATCAGCGTGTGAAGTAACAGAAGAATTGGAGGTTTTATGTAGAAAAATTAGAAATAGGAAAAATCAGAATTTTTTGACTTCTAAAATTATATCACTTTGACGATTGAAATGGTTTGAAAAAACAAAGCATGTATGATGAAAAGTCATTTAAATAAAATACTGATAATATGTTTTACGATACTTTTTTATCATACCTCGAAAAATGAGATTATCATTTGACAATTTGAAAATATTACGGTGGATCCATTTAATAAATTGTCCTACTTGAGATGATGTTCAACAAAGTATACATTTTTTGAAAGAAAAAAACAACCATAATATCAGTTAGAAATTAGATGAAGATGATTTATTCGATGAATTTAATCATGTAGTGAACATTTTCAAGATACTAGTTCATGAATGGAAAAAAAATTGTACAAAAGTAGAAGAGAAATGGTGTAAAATTTTCAAGTATATGGAAAATCAAAATATTGACCTACAAAACATAACAGGAATTATTGAATATGCTTAGGCAATACCCGGAACAAATGCAGCAGTTGAAAGAACGTTTTCTAACATAAATTTATTGTGGAGTGGTGAAAAAAATCGTTTTCTTATTGACACTATAAAAGCTATAATTATTGTTAAAAATCATTTCAAAAATTATTCTTGTAATGAATTTTATGGTTTCCTTCTAAACAAAATTAATTATTAGATTTAATAAGTTCATCACAAAAATATGACTTGGGAAATAAGTAAGAATTCCAATCAACATCAGAATAAAATATGTAATATGAAAACTTAATAAATGTACATTTATGTATGATTTTTTTAAATATAACAGGTAGTTTTTCGATATAAAAATTGAATATTGTTATAAGTTTTGTTGTTATAATATATATATATTAAAGGTAGTATATATATATATATATATTATTTATACAAGTTTCATATTTTGACAATCAATACATTTTTTTTTTTACATATGGTCACCCTAGAATATAACTATATTTGAGTTAATATTGAAAAAAAATGAATTTCAACAGAAACATTGAATAACAATATTGAAAGTAAGTAAATTATTTTTGAAAACAATGTATATAAAAATAAACCAACTTTATATTATTTGTAAATAGATTTCACTTATACTTAAGTACTCACTAGTGACTACCTACATATCTATATTATGTATTTTATTGATATTCCGATTGTAGGTACCTATAATTTCTTTTTTTGATGTGGATGTTAAACGGTGGACGCCTTAATTTCAAACACTGTCCCAATCAGGGCTCTTACTTATCCTAGTCTGATCCTCCTGGTGCTACTTAGGATAAAATAATGAAATGTTTATTATTTACACTAAAAATAATACATTAATGATATTTAATAGTAATATTAACAAGCCATTTTTGTATATCTGTAATCTGTATAACAGCTAATGTTTGGTCTACAGCAAAACAATTAGGTAAGCATAATAATATAAATAATATACCTACCTAATTTATTATATCTACCTAATGAATATTATATGATATTTCAAAAAATATTGAACTAAACAGTATATTTGACTATTATTTTATAAGAATTGCCAAGAAAATACACACTAGCATTTTTTTTAGAAAATAATGGAGGAATAGAAATATATCTATAACTTAAAAGTATTTTGGAAAGTTACCAATTTATACCTAAACAGTTTGTGTAATATTACAAATAATATAATAAATATTATTTAAATAATTGTATCAAAATTATGAACATCATTTAAAAAAATTATTGAGTAAGCCAGATTTTTCTAAAGTTGTTAATATTTAGAATTTTTTTTCAATGTGAATTTCTTCAAGGTGGATATCTGTTAAAAGAAAAATTAAATTTTCATTTTCATCCTCTAACACTAAAATAAAATCCCTTTAAACAATTTTCAAAATAGTAATTTTGTAAAAGATATTCTTCTAAAAAGTTGAATGTGTCATAAGTTCATAACTGATAAATAGTTTTTTTGTTTTAAACAGCTGTTTTAATTTCTTGAGAAAAGGTGTGAAAAAGGTTACTAACTACCGTGTATCACGATAGGAAATAACATGATTTATTGCATTATAAATTAAAACAGCTGTTACTAAAAAACATAATAGTTTATGTATATGAATGTATGATAAATTACAAATTGTAGAATAATATCTTTTACAAAATAGTTATTTTGAAAATGTTGTAAAGTGAATAAAAAAAATGTAATTTTATTTTAGTAATAAAGGGATAGAAATAAAAATTAAATTTTTCTCTAAATAGATTAAAAATAATAGCTCTAGAAAAATCCATCAAATAGTGCGGGATACTCTATATGACCTATATCATCATATGCATAGGCTGTTCCTGGTGTGCCATAAGTTGTAAACGAAATTATCTTATTTATTTTTTGAGCGTTATTTCATAAGGTAATTTCTAACTCATTTGGTATGACATATCGTCATATTACATTTATCAATAAATCAAATCAACCGGTAACCACTAACACTTTGATATTACTTATCATTGTCTTGAGTTCGGGATTTATCGTAAATGTGATGATATTAAGTTTTTTAAAAATATCTGAACATTCTTTTATAGTTGTCTATATTTTGCAATATATATTATAATGTTTTTGTTAATTATTGTTTGATGATAGAGATACCGGGTGATTCTTTTATCTTCAATCACTCATTATTCCGCAAAGTATTGATTATTTTTTAAATTTGTCATTAACTTAAGAATAGTACTAAAATGTTACGTTATTATTTTTTTTGTCACCTTTATTTTTGTGGGTGAAATGACTTCTTACTTTTGATTTTAAAATGGTCACCTTCATTGAAGATGCCTTAAATAGATACAGTATTAGTTAAAATAAATGTCGGTGTTAAAATTTTTAACTTCCGACAATCCATTGACGAGGTATTACACTTTTAAGTTTTTGGTTGGAGGAGAGTAAGTCGTCACACAAATGGTGATAATAATTTAAATGTCTCTTCATACTTCAAATACTTAAATTAATGGGGATAATTTACTCAAAATAATAGGAGAGGCAGATCGCATAATCTAATTTACTAGAATTATTATAATAATTTTAATTTAAAAAAGATGGACACACTTCGCACAATGGGTGAACCACTGTTGTAGGTGAGAAGTTAGGAAGGTGGGATATAGAGGGAAATTAAATCATTGATAATAAAAAACTAATCTGAGCGGAATTCCGTTATACTTGTTTTGAAAGGTCATAATATTTACGATTTTCGTTAAAATGTATAAAAAAAAAATTCTATATTACTCTTAATTTTTTTTCAATCAACTTCTTGTTCAATTTTCAAGGATTTCTGTTTTGTCTAATAATTTTATCTACAGATTACATACCGAATAAAAATATAAAAAACTAACAAAATTAAAATATTTATAACTAGCTCAAAAATGGCTAACATATTTAGATAATTTTACCCTGTTTAAATTTTAAATCTCTATGAATATGTTTAACTAAATAAACACAAAACAACTTAATTTCCTATAATAAAAGTATTATTTTTGTAAATTTGTCCGTTCTTTATACGTTTTTTTTTCAGTTTTGTTTAATAATTAAATAAACCACACGACAAATAAAAAAAAAAACTACTTTTTTACTCACCCAACTAAATAATAAATTCACAAACAATAATCTTTTGATGTTTTTAATTGAAGTATTATTTCTGATAGAAAACAGTGTGCGTACAAATTTAAAATAATGAAATCGTATGCTATATATGAGTTCGTTTTTCATTTTTTGATTTTTTCGGTGTTCCTATTTGAAAATAAAACTATTTGGAAAATCAAAACACAACTTACACTTAAGTATTAATTTTATTTAACTAGTAAAACTTTGGAACATTAGAGTAATAGGTTTGTTTATTATTTTCCTTCCTCATTTCCGGATTTATTGATTTATAATGTTTTTACCACTCGACGCAAATTATAATTATTTTATGATTATACTTTCTATTTAAATTTTTTTGCAATGTTTACATTCCCGGAAATTTATTTTTTGGTTTCCTGTGTTCTGAAAATTGACTTTCTTCTGGGCATGTTTTTTTGGATAACTGCAGTAAATGGTCTTACTTTCTGTAAAACTGTATTTTATTGTTATAATTTCGTCCATTCAACATTCTGGGTTGACACGAATAAAAACAACTGTTTGGGTCGTTTAGTTTATGAAAACTTATGGCTTCCTAGTCTGTAAGCCCACATAAATGACCAAAGTAGATATCATTTACGGTATGACCATACAGTTATAATAATAATTTTTTTATTAAGTATTAGATTCTGAGTAGAGATTCTGTATTAGTTTTACAAAGGTGTTTTTTTTCTATAGACAACTTTTTTACAAGTAAGTTTTTCTGATTCATAATAATAGCATTTTTCTGGAAGGAACCTGAATTGAGGAAGTACAAGGAGGTGATTTTTTGATTTTCCCAAAAGTTTGCCTAATAAATGGGATAAATCGGAAAAAATACACGGGAAAACCGGGAAAAAACGCAGGAAAAACAGGAATATAGGTACAACATTGAACAAATACTATTGAAGAAAGTTTTTAGTGTACATTTAATTAGTTTAACATAATATAAAATTTACCTACATTGTTGACAAAACAACTGAACTCTGCTCAGAATCAATTTTTCGTTAGCAATGGTTTATCCTTATACATATAGGTATACATTAAATTTTTGTTTATATCTTATCTTCCCGATTTCCCACATACAACACTGATGGCTGCTCCCATCTCTATTATCTTAGGATAACTTTTTTTTTTATCTTATCATTGATCAATAGCTCTTTGTCAATTATTGTTAATTGGAGAAAGCTTAGCCAATGTTGTATTATACATTAAAT